TAACATGTCACAGCTGTGCAGCAGTGAGCAATGGCGGCGTAATGTTGTGTGTGCATAGAGCATTTACACGGAATTGACAAGGACTGTCGGCCATATAGGTGAAACTGACAATTAGAGTATAGAACATTAAGAATTTGTTAGTACTCAGTATTACTATTAGATTTCGTATTTATTTAGGCATTAATATTTATTGAAACGTTTCAAGTGCGGCTGTGCTAGCCAGTATGCTTGTAGGAATTGACGTAAAGTAGCGGTAATAAAAAGTAAACATTATCCAAGTTAGCCTCAAACGCACACTTTTATTATGTTCTAAGCCGAATTAGACAAAAAAAATACTCCACGCACAGTAACTCGCAATTCGTAATTTAGGTCAAACTTGACTATCGCCATAAATGCTATCATTGCGTTCCATAACTCAGAACCCGATTGCAAACTGGGCACGCCCTCTCAATTATTAGTTGGTAAGACCGGTAAGGAAGCTCTTGGCCAAATTGACACTGAAACCCAACTTCGTCAGCTAGATATGATGAGTTGAATACACTTTCCTGCGCCTTAGCCTGGCGTAATATTCCGCAGAGATTATAGGTAAGACATCGTGTCTATATGTATACCAGAGAGACATGATTACAAATTGCGCGGTGCACAGCCTTTGCTGTTGATCCTGAGCGCTGGCGGCACGTGGATGAGACGCGGCGTTCCGCACGGATATGCGCACGCGACCGCGGGGATGTTCAAGTTTTGAAGCGGGCTTGTCCGCAGTGGAGGCGTGCGCTAAAATCGAGGCCGCGCAGCCGTCTCCACAGTGGTCAGCGGATGGTCTGTAGTTTTTAGAAGCTAACAATGAAGACTTTGTTTAAATAAGAACTATCGGCGCTAAATAAGAGCAATATACAGACCTTTGAATTTCTTGACTAGTCAGTCAAAGGGCTTGTTGGGGCTCCATTATGCAGAGCTTCGCAATTGAAAAGGCCCATGAAATTGTCAAGTGGAATTGTGTTTTTCGGAACCCCAAAGAAAATGTCTCCCCTCAGGCTCTTAAATGCACCCCTCCCTGATCAATCACGCATTCAGGCGTCAACAATAACATTAAGCAGAGATGAAATTGTGTGGAGTTTGTGGCTCTTGACGCACGTGCATTGACGTACAAGACTGTTGAAAGCACAGGCATTTGGGAGTTGAAACGTCTCAATAAAATAAATATTCACGACAATTTTTACAATGATCGACCGCCCTGTGTGCAAAAATAGGTGAACTGAACGTATGTAAAACAATATACGGTTAGTACTTACTGTGACATATCCGTGACTAACTGACACCCACTAAAATTGGTAAAATGTTCCATTCACCTTATGAGATGCTGAAAATTGCGAGGTTATCATCGCAGTAACTCCCGAACAGCGGCGTACGTCACAAGAGCTAATATGTAAACAACACGCGTGCTTGCGAGGTGCCGGCGGGCGCAGAGTCGAGGTTTGGAGTTGGGTGGTTCGAGACATTTAATCATCTGTAATTCACTTCCGCGTGCATCTATTTGCTAATATATTTGACTAATCGTGCGTCAATAAAACTCAATATTTACAAAAATATATAGCTAGACGTGTCTATAGGTATCTAGATTTCTAGATGTGTAACTCAATTCGTTTCGCGGAGATATGAGAGTTAATATACAGCTTGCCTGGCGTCTATAGCCGTGCGTATATTAGGCCTCTATGGAGGCGATACAGCGGCGCATATATTTGCTAATAATATTGACTAATCGTGCGTACAATAAAAACTCATTATTCACAGGAGATTATAGCTAAGACATGTGTCTATATGTAATGTAGATTTCTAGAAAATGTAACTCATTTCGCTCGCCGAGATATGAGAGTTAATACATAGCGTAAATAGCGTTATGCGCGGGGGGGGGGGTTACCAGCTGTACACAATGCGCAGTATAGGTGGGCGCGGTTCGAACATTTAAATCATCTAATAATTCACTTCTAAGGAATATCTACATTGGGCACCCCCTCTAATATTTATAGTACTGCCATAAGCTACAACTGTGCCAAAGGTTGATGCTTTTGTCCGCTCTGTAACGATCATGATGCTAAGGGACCTGACTAAATGCCAAGCGACCAGGACATAGCCCCACAGCTAAACTGCACTGCTAACTTAAGTATGCATGTTTGATAAGCCACATTTGTGCATCCGTGTTAAACATCCACATTGTCTGACACGCTCTCGCCAGCTACCATGTTGCATTTTAGCTGAAGCGTTGTAGTTTACGTGTTTTTCCACTGGCACATTTTTGTGTTGTAATGCACCTGTAAATGTGGCCTCCAGCCCGAATACACGACGTGCACCTAGCCTGTTCCTGTGGCCTTCACTGACAAGCAGGATCTTCGTACATTTGGTCATTTAATTCATTATAATAACTCTTACTAAAAGTATTTTTACAATTGCAAGGGACATACCTTGGTGTTGCTGCTGATAGGCTGATGCTGAGTGAGGTTAAGTATGCAAGTTAACTAAATAAATGCAAAGCATTGCCTTGCGAGTGTTTTCCCCTGCATTGACAGTCTAAGCGAGGCAGGCCGCCTTCGCTCAATTCTCAGCCGCCACACAGAAATTTGTCCCAAAACACAGCCTGGCTGATGAAAAATCACTGTTCTTGAAGTTCTTCTATCAATAAACTACACTTTCTCATACAATAGTCTCATACAATATGTTCAGAATACCTTAGAATGCACCAAATTCAACCATTTTTTCAAAAATTTCCCTGACGCTTTTTATTTAGGATCTCAAATGCGCAAACATGGGCGCGGTTCGAACATTTAATCATCTATAATTCACTTCTAAGGAATATCTACATTGGGCACCCCCTCTAATATTTATAGTACTGCCATAAGCTACAACTGTGCCAAGGTTGATGCTTTTGTCCGCTCTGTAACGATCATGATGCTAAGGGACCTGACTAAATGCCAAGGACCAGGACATAGCCCCACAGCTAAACTGCACTGCTAACTTAAGTATGCATGTTTGATAACCACATTGTGCATCCGTGTTACACATCCACATTGTCTGACACGCTCTCGCCAGCTACCATGTTGCATTTTAGCTAAACGTTGTAGTTTACGTGTGTTTCCACTGGCACATTTTGTGTTGTAATGCACCTGTAAATTGGCCTCCAGCCCGAATACACGACGTGCACCTAGCCTGTTCCTGTGCCTTCACTGACAAGCAGGATCTTCGTACATTTGGTCATTTAATTCATTATAATAACTCTTACTAAAAGTATTTTTACAATTGCAAGGACATACCTAGTTGGTGTTGCTGCTGATAGGCTGATGCTGAGTGAGGTTAAGTATGCAAGTTAACTAAATAAATGCAAAGCATTGCCTTGCGAGTGTTTCCCCTGCATTGACAGTCTAAGCGAGGCAGGCCGCCTCGCTCAAATTCTCAGCCGCCACACAGAAATTTGTCCAAAACACAGCCTGGCTGATGAAAATCACTGTTCTTGAGTTCTTCTATCAATAAACTACACTTTCTCATACAATAGTCTCATACAATATGTTCAGAATAGCTTAGAATGCACCAAATTCAACCATTTTTTCAAAAATTTCCCTGGACGCTTTTTATTAGGATCTCAAAATGCGCAAACACACCAAAAAAAATTTACCACCTCACAGGCGTTTTTGGCCAGGGGAAACACTGCCTTGCGATAAGGTGCTCACCTCCATAAGTAGCAGGAGACCCAGAAGCATTGACTGTCTTCCAAAGCAGCGGAACATGGCGCGTCGCAGGCTCGGCAGTGACTGACCATCTTCGCTAGCACTCCGCAGCTCCTTGTTCCACTCCCTGAGAAGAATCAGGATCCATTGTCTATCATTAATCGCGTGACGCAGAGCACGGCTGTTATGTCAATACTGACAGCAGACAATAGCAGTAAATTGTAGGCAGCTTGGACGAAACTCAGATTTCCCAGCTCGGGTGCATAAAATCGTTGAATGTTAGGCTGAGCAAATTCCATTACCAAAAATATGTTTGTTAGAATGTTTTTTACAGGCAGTACAAAATGGGATACGTATGCTACATGGAATTTATATATATTAAATTATTTTACACTATATATATTAACAGTCACTGTGCACAGTGAGCAATGGCGGCGTTAGTGTGTGTGCATAGAGCATTTACACGGAATTGACAGGAAACTGTCGGCAATAATAGGTGAAACTGAAATAGAGTATAGAAACATTAAGAAATTTGTAGTACTAGTATTACTATTAGATTTCGTATTTATTTAGCATTATATTTTATTGAAACGTTTCAAGTGCCTGTGCTAGTCAGTATGCTTGTAGAATTGACGTAAATAGCGTAATAAAAAGTAAACATTATCAATTAAGCCTCAAAACGCCACACTTTTATTTGTTCTAAGCCGAATTAGACAAAAAAACATACTCACCACAGGTAACCCAATTCGTAATTTTAGGTCAAACTTGACTATCCCATAAATCATTAACTAGAACCGATTGCAATGGGCACCCCCTTCAATATTAGTTGGTAGACCGCTAAGGAAGCTCTGTGCCAAATTTGACACTATAACCCAACTCGTCACTAGATATAAGAGTTAATACACTTTCCTGCCGCCTTTAGCCGTGCGTAATATTCACAGAGATTATAGGTAAGACATGTGTCTATATGTATCCAGAGAGACATGATACAAGATTGCGTGGCACAGCTTTGCTGTTGATCCTGAGCGCTGCGCACGGATGAGACGCGCAGTTCCGCGGGATATGCGCACGCGACCGCGGGGGATGTTCAAGTTTGAAGCGCTGTCCGCAGTGGAGGCGTGCGCTAAATTCGAGGCCCGGCGCACGTCTCCACAGTGGTCAGCGGATGGTCTGTAGTTTTAGAAGCTAACAATGAAGACTTTGTTCTAAATAAGAACTATCGGCGGCTAAATAAGAGCAATATACAGACCTTTGAATTTCTTGACTAGTCAGTCAAAGGGCTTGTTGGGGGTCCATTATGCAGAGCTTCCAATTGAAAAGGCCCATGAAATTGTCAAGTGGAATTGTGTTTTTCGGAACCCCAAAGAAAATGTCTCCCTCAGGCTCTTACATGCACCCCCTCCCTGATCAATCACGCATTCAGGCGTCAACAATAACATTAACAGAGATGAAATTGTGTTGAGTTTGTGGCTCTTGACGCACGTGCATTGACGTACAAGACTGTTGAAAGCACAGGCATTTGGGAGTTGGAACGTCTCAATAAAAATAAATATTCACACAATTTTTCACAATGATCGACCGCCTGTGTGCAAAATAGGTGAACTGAACGTATGTAAAACATATACGGTTAGTACTTACTGTGACATATCCGTGACTAACTGACACCACTAAATTGGTAAAATGTTCCATTCACCTTATGAGATGCTGAGAAATTACGAGGTTATCATCGCAGAACTCCCGAACACCGTACGTCACAAAGCTATATGTAAACAAACACGCGTGTTGCGAGGTGCCGGCGGGCGCGGAGTCGGGTTTGGAGTTGGGTGGTTCGAACATTTAATCATCTGTAATTCACTTCCGCGTGCATCTATTTGCTAATATATTGACTAATCGTGCGTCAATAAACTCAATATTTACAAAAATTATAGCTAAGACGTGTCTATAGGTATCTAGATTTCTAGATGTGTAACTCAATTCGTTCGCGAGATATGAGAGTTAATACACTTGCCTGGCGTCTATAGCCGTGCGTATATTAGCCTATATGAGCGATACAGCGCGCATATATTTGCTAATATATTGACTAATCGTGCGTCAATAAACTCATTATTCACAGAGATTATAGCTAAGACATGTGTCTATATGTATGTAGATTTCTAGAAATGTAACTCATTTCGCTCGCGAGATATGAGAGTTAATACATAGCGTAATAGCGTATGCGCGGGGGGGGGGTACCAGCTGCACACAATGCGTCAGTATAGGCGGGCGCGGTTCGAACATTTAATTATCTATAATTCACTTCTAAGGAATATGATCTA